GTTGGCCTTTGCGGCTTCCTCCTGCGTGTCCCGGAGTTTGCCTCAATACTGGTTCCTTCTGTTCTAGACAGGTTGGGCTCCTTGTAGCAGTTTGGGCTCCTTGTAGCAGTTTGGGCTCCTTGTAGCCGTTTGGGCTCCTTGTCGCCGTTTGGGCTCCTTTGTGGCCGTTTGGGCTCCTTTGTGGCCGTTTGGGCTCCTTTGTGGCCGTTTGGGCTCCTTTGTGACCGTTTGGGCTCCTTGTAGCCGGTTGGGCTACTTCTCGCCTTGTTGGGCTACTTCTCGCCTTGTTGGGCTACTTCTCGCCTTGTTGGGCTACTTCTCGCTTTATTGGGCTACTTCTCGCTTTATTGGGCTACTTTGCGCCTGGTTGGGCTACTTTCTTTCGCGTCCTGCGCATGTGCCGTGGGAGTTTGTTTTGGTTCCAGGCGGTGTGCACACGTGTTCTGCTCCAATTCTCTCGGGGGGCTTCGCCTCTCGTTCTTTTCTTATTCCCATCCGTGCCCCGTTGCTTTAGGGGTGTTCTGGGGTGCCGCTGTGTGGAATTCATGAGGTTTTTCCCTGCGTTCTAGGGTGGGGAGCCTCCTTCGCTGCTCCCCTCCTCTCCAGCATGGGCGCACTGGCCGCCTCCAGCGGATACGGACTCGAACGCTTGCGTCATGGCCCTTCAGGGCCTATGTTCTGCAGGCGAGTTGGTGCGGTTTTGGCGTCTCCTCCGTCCTGACGCTGTTTTTGTTTTTGGGAGTAGGAATGGGTGTACATACGTACTTGAGAACGTGGACCGTATCACCCGAGGTCCCTACTGCAGGGCTATTAGCCCATACTGGGCAGCTCTTGTTCTCTCCACCTGATTCCTTCCTCGTTTCACGGGTGTCTGCAGGTGGCCTCTTGTCCCTTCAGAGGCAGTTCCTGCCTGTACTCCTCCTGCCCCTCTCCTATGCTTGTCTAACCTTGCTTGAGTTCGGGGCCCCGCCTCCACCTTGTTCCGCGGTGCAACGGTGGGGGTGCCTGTTTGGTAGTAAGTTTTCCTGTAATTACCTAAGTGTAATTACCTAAGTGTAGTTACAGGATGAGAGCTACGCTCGTGGTGTCCCGTCTTCCCAGCACTCTTTGTCATATAACGCTTTGAAACTACTGACGGTCTTGGCCTCCACCACCTTCTCACTTAACTTGTTCCAACCGTCTACCACTCTATTTGCGAAGGTGAATTTTCTTATATTTCTTCGGCATCTGTGTTTAGCTAGTTTAAATCTATGACCTCTTGTTCTTGAAGTGCCAGGTCTCAGGAAATCTTCCCTGTCGATTTTATCAATTCCCGTTACTATCTTGTATGTAGTGATCATATCGCCTCTTTTTCTTCTGTCTTCTAGTTTTGGCATGTTTAATGCTTCCAACCTCTCCTCGTAGCTCTTGCCCTTCAGTTCTGGGAGCCACTTCGTAGCATGTCTTTGCACCTTTTCCAGTTTGTTGATGTGCTTCTTAAGATATGGGCACCACACAACAACAACAACTGTGTCGGAGGTTTTGTGTTCGCCTCCTTGTGTTTGCAGGTTGGGTTCTGGCTCTTTGTTTCCGCCTCTCCCCTGTCGTTTGCCTGTCGGGCGGATTCTGTGCTTCTTGGGCACTCTCATCTCTGCTCTTGGGGCTGTGTATGGGGTCAGCCCATGTTGGGCTGCCTAATGTGTTCCTTTGATTGCCTGTTACACTGCACACGTTTCTTCTACCGTCCCTGTGGCTCAGTTGGGTGCTCGGTTTCCGCCTATGTCCTCTTGTGTGCCACTCGTGTACGATTTATCTATCTTCTGTCGCTTCCTCGGGGAGTGTGGTGACGTTTTGCTGCGGTTTTGGTACTGCAGCTGCGTGTCGGGGTTGGTTGTGGAGTTATGTTCGGCCCTCCGTTATCCCTCTGGGGCTCTCCTTCCTTGCCAGTCTTGCCGTGGAGGGCCTGGTTTTTCCATGTTCCTTGGTTTCACTGTCTTGTCCTCGCCTCATTGTGCTGGCTGGGGATGAGCTTGGGGTCTTCATCTCGCCCCTCGCCTATCCTCCGGTTTCGGTTCAAGTTCCGGAGCCTAGTGGGCTCCCTTCCTTCGTGTTTTTCATGGCTGCCCCGGGGTTTTCTTGACGCTGGGGCTTTGAGGGGACAGCTCGGCCCCGGGGCCTGCAGGGTGGGTTCCCGGGGTTGGGGTAGGGCTAACGTGAGGGGCCTCAGGCCCCGTTGGTCCCCGCCAGGGTGTTTCTAACCCTCTGGGGGGGACTTGCAGTTTTGTGGTGTGGGATTTTCCGTTCCCCCTCTCCGCACGTGCTTTGTGGGCATCGGCCCCTCCCTGGGCTTGGTTTCCTTGTCCGTTGTACCTGTTGTTTCCGTCCTGTCGGTGGGTGCTTTTCTACGATCTTCGCCCCCTTTTCCGTTACGGGCCTTCTTCCGTCATGTCCCCCTCTTCTTGGGGTTTCTGCATGACTTTTGGTCTCGGGTGCGACGGGGTTTTGGGGCCTTCGTCCTTTGTGTTTGCTTCTTTTTGTTCTCGAAGGTTCGGGACTGTTTTGCTCCTTCCCGTTTTCTGGTGCGTCTGTCGTCCTTCGGTTGAGCTTCCCTCCGGTCCTTTCTAGGGCTTGTGGGTCCTCTTTCCAGCAGCTTCTGGGTGTTGGCCTTTTTGTTCTTTTGTGAATATCTCTTCTCTTCACACTCTCTCGGCGCTCCTAGTTTTCCTGGGAGCGATTTTGCTCCTCCTAATGAGTCTTTTCGCTCCTGCCCTTCTGCGTGATGTTGGTGCGGGGCGGCTCCTTATGCAAGTTCCTTCCCTGTCAGCTACACTTGTGGAGGTGGTCTTGCACACTTGTGACATTTTCGTTTTGGTCCTGCATTTTCTTTTCCCTCCTGGGGCTGTCATAGGATTGGCTTGCGGAGGATGTAAAGGCGCTTGGGGCCGTTCCAGGGTCTGGCACCTTGGTGTCTGCTGCTAGCTTTCGGTATCGATATTCCTTCTGCGCCGTTTCGCAGGTTGTATCGTGCGTTGTTACACCTCCGGCCTGCTTATGCACTATCTGTGTCGTCCTGGTCTTTGGACAGGGTGCTCTCCTGTTTTTCTTCTCCTTGGTGGTTGTGGCTCCTTGGGGTCAGGTTTGCTTTGCCTCGGTTTTCTTTTTGTGTTGGCATTCGCCTCTAGGGGCCGTGTGGCAGAGCTTCTTGCTCTTCTCAGGCGCAGTGGTTTTTGGCTCCTATTGTCGTGATCATAGGTTTTCTTCATCTGCGGCCGTTCTCCCTTTTTTCTGGCGAATGCTATACCTTGGTTTGTTGTCTCGACTTCGTGTTGTGGAGGTATTCTCCGACCGCCTCCCGGGTATGTCCCCTTGTTTTTTAGGTAGTCTTTGGTGAGGTAGCTCCGGGGAGCCGTAGGGGCTCCCCCCAGAAAACCAGCGTTGAATGTAATGAAACGCCATTTTCTGGGTGAGTCCCAGAGGCTCCCCGGCACCCTCCCGCCCTCTGGTCGGCGGGTTTTTCACGGTTTTGATATCCAGCCTCAGAACTGGGGCAGGGATCGCCAGCGCGGGGGTCTGGGGCTCCCCCTTTCCCCTCCCGGGGAGGGGGGAGCTGCGCAGACATGCGGCGCAGCTCACGTGACGTCATGCTTGTTAGTTCGTTTTCCTGGGGGAGTTCTGTCCACTCGTTTGTCGATTATTGTTGTTTAACCAGAATAATGGTTTGTTTTGTGGCGCTTACCTTTCTGGGTGCCTGTCCCGGTCGATGGCAGATACAGTATAGAATGCTCGAAATCACATGTGCATTTCTCTGGGCCATTGCTCCCCGTGCCTCTCTGAGGGGGCCAGGTTCTGTCTCGTGGTCCCCGGTAGGCCTAGAACTCCACCCACATCGATTGATGCAAAATAGTTAGGGTATCCACATCAGCCATGGATAGCTCCAGGGAGCCTCCGGGACTCACCCAGAAAATGGCGTTTCATTACATTCAACGCTGGTTTTTTATGCCTACTCAAAGTTGAAACTCTAGTTTGAGATAATTGAAGTTAATGTTATTATCAATGAATGAAGTAGTTCTAATTCATTAATTTACTTGTATGTTTTAATGAGCATTGTTTGGCAATTCTTACTTGAATATGTGAATGTTGTGGGTTAATGTGCTAAAATGACATCAAGAAGAAAAAAAAACTAAAAAAACAAAATATAGGGATAATTATAATGATTTTGGGAATATACATGTATACTTTATATAAGTGATAAAGCCTTAATCTGGTTCCTAATCATCAAAACAACCTAAAGAGACAAAGAAAATTAAGTTTGGAATCTGTGAAAAAATCACCCTATAAGAATTCAAAGTTCTGCCAGTTGTAGCTGATTTATTTGTTGACCAATTACATTCCATCTTCACATAGTTAGGGACAGGTATGCACTTTCCGGGATATAAAGATTAGAACAAAATCAGATAATAAACAAAGGAAGAAAAAAAATCATCCCCCCCCCAAAAAGTATGGAAATTGGTGAAAGTAACAGATATTAGCATTGGGCAATGTATTTATATGATATATAACAAAATAGTGCATAATAACATGCTCATTATTGTTGGTGTTATTATGTATTACTCAGCAATGCTATAAAGGCACCAGCTGTATATCCACTTTGTGGACACTTCTTACTACTATTCTTCTTTGTGTGTTGGACAGGTGCTTGCATCTCTTTATTACTGCATTATCTCTAAATTCGAGTTAATAGGAGCTGTTCTCCTTATCAACAAAATGTTCTTTTTTAAAAAAAATTGTCTAGAATCCATTTCTGAAAATACTGGGATGAATCTTTCACGACGCTGAAGCCAATAAGTTGGAGATTTGTTTAATATGCATTAGTAATTTTCACATAATTCAAATATTTTGTCGATTCCTGGCCCCTTAATAAAGTGAAGAATCCATTGTTAGTTTATAGTACACTGTCATGGATTTTATCAGTTGTAGAGCATGAAGATGCAATGTTGATCAGTTTGATGTTTTGATGTCAGGTCCGTGAGGGCAAGCTGTTGGAGGAGCTATCATCTCAGGCCACTAACATTGGCTCTAAGGTAAGTTGAAAGATTTCACACACTCTTTTCTGTATATTACATATATGTGTAGTTAAAGTACCTGTGTAGTTAAAGAATGAGCGCTATGCTCGTTGTGTCCCCGTCTTCCCGGTACCAATACTCGGTCTTATAACACTTTGAATCTACTGAAGGTTTTGGTCTCCTCCACCTTCTCACTTGTTCCAACTGTTTACCTCTGTTTGCAAAAGAACACTTTCTAATATTTTTTTGCTACCTTTGTTTCCTTAGCTTGAATCTGTGTCCTCCTGTTCTTGAAGTTGCTGGTTTCAGGAATTCCTCTTTTGTCAATTTGGTAGATTCCTGTTGTTATTTTGTAAGTGGTGAGCGTATCACCTCTTTTTCTTCTATCTTAAATTTTGACATATTTATTGCCTCGAGCCTTTCCTTGTAACTCATTTTTCAGTTCTGGAAGCCATTTTGTAGCATGCCTTTGCACCTTTTCTAGTTTCTTAATGTGCTTCTTGAGATATGGGCACCATACAACTGCTGCATATTCCAATTTTTATCTCACAAAAGTCATGAACAGTTTCTTTTTAGTTTTTCACCATCCATGTAATTAAAAGCAAATCAGAAGTTGGAAGGAGACACATGAACTCCTCTCACAATGTTCTTTGTGTGTTCCTCTGGTGACAGTTTACTATCCAAAATCACCCCTAGATCTCGTTCTTTATTAGAGTTCTTCATTCCTTTCCACACAATTTGTAAGTTGCGTGTAGTCTATTTTCTCTGATTGCACATTTCATAACGTGGCATTTATTCACATTGAATTCCATATGCCACGTGTCGCTCCAAGCACTTATTTTATCTATATCAATTTGAAGGGAATGACAATCGTCTATGTCTCCTATCTTCCCCAGCATGTTAGTATCATCTGCAATATAATTCTGTATTCCTTCTGGTAGATTGTTTATGTAGACGATTAACATTACTGGTGCAAAAATTGAACCCCTGTGGTACTCCGCTAGTAACACTCCTCCACTCGGATACATTGCCTTTGATTACTGCCCTCGTCTGTCAACTAGAAAATGTTTATCGATGTCAGAAGTCCCCTGTCACTCCTCCAGCATGTTTGTGTCCAAACAACCTCTTGTGTGGGACTCTGTCAAGCCTTTTTAGGTCCAGATAGACAATCAACCCAACCATCTCTTTCCTGTAGAATCTCTATGGCTCTTATCATAAAAACTAAGTAGATTTTTTACACTGGATCTTTGTTCAAAAACTATTCTATCTGTCTGTTATTATGTCATTACTTTCCAGGTGTTCATCCCATTTGGTTTTAACAATTTTTTCTAGTGTTTTGACTACCACGCTTGTTAATGATACAGATCTATAATACTGTATAGAGGGTCTTCTCGGCTACCATATTTATAGATTATAACTGTTGGCCTTTTTCCATACAGTATATTTGCTAAGATTCCTGTGCACAAGGATGTTTGAAATATTAATTGGAGTGGAATGTTCAGCTTATTTGCACATACTCGTAGCATCCAAGGTGAAACTCCATTCGGTCCAATTCCTTTATTTCTTCCTAGCCCCTTGAGTAATTTTTGCACTTCGTCTTGAGATATGTCTGTGTGTTCTATGGTGTGCTCTGGAATTGGCATTGGGTTCGGCTCGGAAATCCTCATTTTGTACAAACACACTTTGGAACAGTTCATTTGGTGTTTTACACATTTCTTGTTCACACTCGGTAAACCTGTACTCCATTCTCAATCTTTGGATTTTATCTTTTACATGCAGCTTTGCTTTTAATGATTTTATAGAAAAGGCCTAGATCTGTTTTACACTCTTCCTCTACCCTCTTTCTCAGAGTTTCTTGTTTGCTTGTAGTGCTGGTATGTTTGAGGATTAGGCCTCTTCCTATATTGTACACATTTTCTTGTCGTTTCCTCTCTGGCCCTTTCACAATTTATGTTGAACAAATCCTGTTTTCTGATTCTGCATCTCTGTTTTGTTATGAATTTTTGTGTGCATTCATCATATATTTCACAAAATTTGGCACACATCTCATTTACTTCCTTGCCTAGCAACAAGTATATTCAATTAAATTCAGTAAATAATATGCCAAGTTTCCCATAATGTCCTCTCTTGAAATAAAGTTTATCAACTACTGTATTTCAATGTCCCCATTCTCTTCTAGATTATATTGCACAGGACATAATCACTCTTTCCCAAGAGAGGAAGATACTGGATGTCAAATTTCTTCTTCTTTCCTGGTGAATATTAACCCCTGGGCAGCTCAGCTATTAACAGCCAATAACATAGCTGTGCACAAGAAAAAAAAAATGCCTTCTAAGGTTGCTAAAATGTGTTCTCTGATCATGGGAAAATAATAAAAAAATTTGTAGGTGACATATTGTGGCCATGATAGGGCGAGGAAGTCTGACAAGATACAAGCACTAGAAAGAGTAATGTCCGAGGCCGGTCTTCTACACCCAGGCCCTCAG